ATATGTTTGCTTTGTGAAGTACATATACGAGCATTGTTCAGCGAGACCCATTATAATATCTCGTGCATTGTCAAAGTTATACATTTTATAATAATACTAAAAAACATATGACTGTACATTAACCAATTCGTTTATTGTTGTGTTCTAATGACTGAAAACGGTCCGGAAAAGCTAATTATGGTATATATATATATATGATATACATTGTACATTAATATTTGACGTATTACGGTATAGGTTTTTTGGAACTAAGAACTTCTTACAATCCTTATTACTGCGCGTACATGTACGTTATACGTAATTGATGTACAATGATAAAATCCATACGGTTATTATGCCATGTTCGAACATGATCTGAAATTACTAAATTATTATTATTGCTTGTATTTCTCTATGTGATCTTACTTTTGTTGTTGCAATAGTAAAATAATTACTGTTAATTTAAATACTATGAAACTTCTCTAGAGGCACAAAAATACGTCTCTATACGGCGATAGTAAGACCCAAAATTACATACGGGTATGAAGTATGACCCATGACAGCACGAGTCGAGCAAAAACTAAGGATCATTGAAAATAAAGTATTAAGAACAATATGTGGATTGTATTTAATGATGTAGTCAATTGATGGCGTAGAAGGAAAAATACAAAAATACCCATAATAATAAGTTACATAAAAGGACAAAGAATAAAATGATTAGGTCATGTTAAATGAAAAGAAGCAACAAACAAAGTTAGAGTAACCATGGATTAACAACCAGAAAAGAAGAGACCAAAGAGGAGGCCAAAAAAACGCTGGATAGATGGAATATATCAAGACCTAGAGAGACTATGAATTATAAACTTGGAAGAATTGGTCAAGGATCTTGAAAGTTGAAGAGCATTGGCAGAAAATTATCGAAAACTCTTACAGAGCCATGAAGCCATGATGTTGTAACAGTACTAGAATAAAATACATATGATGCAATAACCCATGCCTGTATATTTTATTCTCGTTTTGGTAAGTACGCAAATGTTGTTCACTCTTCAAATGAATTATCGGTGGGTATTTAGAGAAAGTGACATGTGATAGAATATTTTCCACTGTTTACACATAGCATATTTTGTGCGAAAAACTTTAAACAATTATTTACTATACTCATATTAACTGAACTTCGATGATACGTGGGAAGAGTAATATTATTATTAACACCGCAATGATTTAGCTGTCGAACGAGAAGCCGAAAATTATACGAACAGACTGCGTTGCGTGAGATTATACAGTCTTTGTGCGTGGAGTTTATGGAAATAATATATTGGTAAAGTTTTTTCACTTATCGTTCAACCGCAACGTTCACATAAATTGATATTCTTACTTAAAATTATTACAAATAACTATATATGATAACAGCAAGTTTTGTTTGTCCCTGCGAACTTTTATGACTTATATGAATTGACTCTATTCACGAAAATTATCCTTATTCACTTCCTTCTCGATAATTTTTTAAAGCTTCTAACCTTGATTTATTTATTCTTCACCGAAAAATATAAATCGTTTTCAGTAGATGATACCGATTTGTTACTTTGAGGTGAAAAATATTAAGATACTCTTACGTGTTGTCTACTTTGATACGCCCTACATTTTTCACCGAATTATAAACACACCTATTTATACAGCTATGTTCTATATATATTTATTTGTATTCAATTCAAAAAGTAAAAATATAATTTAGTTTTCATGTTCCTAATGTGAACATTTAAGAATAATAATACTCGTATCGTTATTATTATTTTTTAACTTGCATGTTTTATAATTTCATTTTTATAAAAAAAATTGTGATGCATAATTTGAGATAGTATTGATAAAATGTTTCATTAGCTAAATATTATAAAACAGAACTATATCAGATTTCAAATTACAATAGCAATTATGTTTTTAATAATGAACAAATTTGTAAAATATGTAATGTTAAATAACAATATTATATAGTCACCAAAATTTTGATATAATTTAGTGGCTAACGTATGAAATACATAATTCGCAGGATCTTCTTACTATTTATAATATTATAACAATGAAAATGTCTCATGTTCCAAGACAGCGAACCAAACTATTGATGCATTTCTGATCAATTAGCTTAAAACCTATGTATATATTTACAGAACGTCGAATAGCTATTTTATTTATACTTAAATTGTTACTATATGCGCCAAATTGAATGTATGATATCACCACCCACCTATCAAACAATTATAATATTCAACCAACTTACTTACAAAAAAAAAAAAATATAAAAAAGACTGTTAAAATGTATTAAATATATAGGGAAATGCCCTGTCTATAGGTCCCGTATAAAACGTTTTTTTTTCTCTTTTTTAACATGGATCCATCGAACCAAGAAAAGTTAAACGGCACGCATTTATTTCGGTTTTTAATGAAAATATTAATTATTTATCTTCGTATTCACACATTTCCCCAAAACATATACCAACCACTCCTAACCCACCAAATCACTATGATATTTGTAGTAATTGAAGCATGAGATTGGAGCACCTTATTACCTAAATACGTAGTAATGAGATTTTTTTTTTCAAACGCATGGTTATGTGTTGTTCGATTAGTAACTTATGAATATAATAAGTTCTTATAAGATTATAGGTGAAGATAATAGTTATATTTAAAATAGAACTTTTATTCGATGAAGTTATCCAATGCTTCACGTAAAAACACTCATGTGGAAAACACAATGAATACAAAATTCATAAAATATTAATAAAACGAAATAAAAATTAGTAAATTGTATATGTATTGTAAATTGTTATGAATATATAAATAAGTAGTTTATATATAGAAACAAATAAAAAAATATTTATTTGTATACACAAAATACATGTTATAGTTATTAAAAAGTTTATATCGTACATAAAAAATTGTTTTGATTATTTAATATTAAATTACAATAAATCTACATTTATTGTTATTGTACCTTTGAGCATACGTTTCTGTAAACTATTTTTGAATCGTTCTGATGTGCGCATTATCTCTTAATGTACACTTATACATTTAAAATTTAGGATATTAAGTTATATTCATTATTATATTCTCTGTTTTCAAAAATAAAAAAATGAAATTAGTGATTTAAGTGATTTACGGTTTTAAATTTAATATGTAAGCACAGACATTATCTTGCTAACTTTTTAAATATTTTAAATAACAAAAATAACTCAAATATGTACTCTTTAAGATTTGCGTAAATCGTGTATTTTAATAGTGTTATAATTATTATGATACAAAAACAGTCTATTTAGTTGCTGTACAAAGGTTGTTATAAATAATAAAAATTATAATTGTAATAAGACGCATACAAATATAACATTAATTATTAAATTAGCCTTAGATGTGATCACATCATTGATTTAAACTGGTGACGACTAGCCAAGAAAAATGAAAATAAAATATTAATAATATTTATATTTTATATTGTATATTTTAAAAAAACATGCCATACATAACAAAAAAATTATTTATAACAACAAAAATACCCCTAATTTAATTATATTTAAAATATTTATTTTATTTTAATATTAAAAAAGAAAACATTTAGTTATATGTATTTTAATGATAATTTCACTAATAATAAATTAAATAGCAGGGAATTCTAAAAATAACCATAGAAATTAAAGCGCTATTTTGGGCCTTTAAACAGTTTAATGGCTCATTGACTGTAATAAAATTTAAATTTTTGACTTCTATCAGTCAGACTTCTATCATTAGACAGTCCATCAGCGAAATACATTCTATTGTACTTAGAAAAAAAATTGATACTATTTTACTGTTACATAAGTTTGTTAGTATTATTATATTATATTAGGATATGATTGATTATTTGCTGTTTTTTTGCCTTCGGGCGTAAATATTAAATGTTATTATGAACTTGGTGGATTCGGAATTTATTAAATAGCTCTTAAAATAACATGATAAATTATAGTATATACGGTTAACCGTATAGTTGTTTAAGCAATTCAAATTTAAATTCTGAAACTGTTTTACGTATAGAATAATTCGAATGTAATAAAATATATGATTCGACTAGTTTTATTGTTAAACACATGTTTTAACGATATTGTATTACATAAGTGTAATAAAATGCATAACATATATTTAGTCGTTTTAAATTATACCAGAGAATGACAATAATATTACAAATGTAATACACCAGTGTTTTTTGTTCTTGAAAATCGGAACGTTTTATTTCGGTAGCAAAAGTTAATTTTTAACTCGTTAAACGATAAAGTAATAAAATGTAAAATAAAAATAAATCGTTCTTGTACGTAAAGTGCAAAACAAAGTGAAGTAATTCAATATTTTATGTAATATAAATATTGAAATCGTTACGTGAATATTTTTTAGGAAAAAAAAGTTGTACATATAATAATTAAAAAAATAATAATTACTAAGAATAAAAAAAATGAGATAGGTAACCTTAAAAACAAAAAAAGGATTTAATTTATATACCGGTATTCATTCGTTACTACGATAAGACATTGTTGAAGCTGCACAGGTGTGTAAAGAAAACGAATTCATCGGTGCGACCAGGAAGTGATAAAAACCATCTAATTTATGCTAACTTATTGCGATAGCCGTTTAAAACTAACCGAATACGCGTACTTTCCTTACAAAACTTACATCAGCTATAACATCGAAAAAAATTCTTGGATTTTCAAATGTGACGTCTTAACATTTTCATTAGCACTTGTGTCAATTAACGAATCAAATTCAAAAGTTATTTTCCAAGCCGACTAATGGATGAAAATACGACTTTAATTTTGCGTTTTTCATGTAGCTCCATATTAAAAATTTATAATTATAACAGAAAATTGGAAAATCAATTATAACATTAATCGGCAAAACATGCTGGGCGATCTCGTTTAAACTTACGAGGTTAGCGTGCGCGCGTGTACGTTCACGTTAAATAATATTTTTTTTTCATTTATTTTTATTTTTTTATATTTATATCTTACCGAAGATAATGTTCTTGTAGACAAGTATATTAAATGCGGGACGACGAACGCGCGTGTACAGATTGAATTTGTGTTATTTAAAGCGACGGTGACGACGACGAAAACACTTTGCACGGCAGCCGCAGATTGTGAGTTGTAATTGGGCCGTACGGTTGATTCTTTACCGAACTCGAGACAATAGAAAGTTTGAAATAATATAGTAACGAAATATTGAAATTGAAAAAACGAAAAAAATTCGCGATACAGTGCCGTCAATCGGCTATGTACAGATTGGCAAACGGAAGATAAAAGAAAAATGTGTACAACCAACGGTGTATAATGGTTCGCGGGTTCGCTCGCGTGTTGTTGCTGCGGCTACTCGATCCTGGGACGAATTCGTTGTCCTGTGAGTGACGCGTGCAAACGGCTACGGAGGCGCTGGTCCGATCGGCGCACATCTTTTATAGGGATGCGTTTTGGAGGAAGGGGGGTTTTTTTTTTCCACCCCGTTTGTCGTTTTCTCCCCGTTTCGGCGGTGGAACGCGCGTCACGCATGTCTGTCGAGCACACGCACACACGCGCGCGCGTACGCGCGCACTCACACGCACGTGTTTCAAATATTATCGTGTTTTCCGACTAATTAACATCGTCCGGACCAATTTCGGCGGCGTGGTTTCGGGAAAGAAAAAAACAAAAAAAAAAAAAAATTGAATAACAATAATTAAAAAAATAAAATAAAATGCATAGCCTAAACTACGCGTTACGGGATGAACGCAAAATATTTACGCACCTCCCCCCCCCCCCCGTATTTCTCATGAACGTTCGGTTTCCTGTTACGGACAAAAGGATATGGTTTTACCGGCGGAGGATCCGTTTTTAATTGGACGCGTTACGACGCGTAGTGTCAACGCTACATGCGGTACGCGCTGCGCACATTGACAATATTTATCACGTACGCACAAGGATTTACGTGCGCCGCGAGGACGCGACACTACACGTAACATGATTAACGGGTGGTAATTATTATGATAATCATCACATTCACCGCGGTGTGCTGGAAGCGTTTTTTAATTTGATATTCATTATTTTCCAGAGCGTCATAGGCAACGGGGCAGGCCGCCATCCAGAGGCGGATTTTCGACGAATGTCGACCGATTTCGGTTGCGTTCTTGTCGCACGCGTACAACGTAATAATAATGGCAATCAACATCAACGTGTTCAGAATTTCGTTTGGTGGTCGGGTCTGAATCGAAAGCAAATCATAGATTCTGTCCGACCGAAAATCGGAAACTCTTTTTACGGTACCAAACACGGTTTTAAACGTACGTTTGCGACGAAAAAACCTGTTGCTTTCAGTGTGCCGAGATGGCTATCAAGAGCGTTCCATTTACGTTTCAGTCGTAAATAATATACGATCGAAGCGTGCCAGGGCACGGGTATAAATGTCTACGGATGCCCACTGGCCATCACTGGCCAGGATCTACGCGTGTTCGGAACCATAATCGGTACCGTCTTCCGTCCTGCGGTAAGGGTCCGGGTAACGTACAAACGATTCACCCGTTCACGCACGTTTTTTCCCGTAATCGTCCTACTAACTCGGACGGACGGAAAGTGTGTGTTGTATTCGACAGCCTAGCACGCGACCATGCAATAATCCAGTGGTGTAGGTAAGGGCGAAGGATTTTGGGGGTTTGAACCTTCACCACCATTACCAAATTCCAAACTAGTAAATTAACAGGTAATAATAAAAATAATAATTACCTAAATATATCAACCCCCTGCCCTATATATAATCTTTACCTACGCCTTTGTAATAATCTGTACGTTCGTGTCGCTTTGAAACCGTACAAGTTTAGTATTTGAGCATGTTGTAGTCATCCGATTTCACCATTAATTCCAATACTTGATATTGTTTTATTTTATTTTAGACTCTAATACTTTTATTAATCAATTAACCTTATTAATTTAACAGTATTTATAATCAGATATCGACGTAGGTGATAATGTAAACATACGTTGATGTTTATTTAATAGTTGATAAGCCAAAGCGCATACATTTTAAACTTTTAGCCCATTGCTTTTAAAGCGCTATACACAATCAAACTACAACTTTATTTAGCTATTTGATACGTTTGGAAGCTACGCCCATATTTATGGTACAAATACGGTCACAATATCTCTTGTAATTTAGATACAGTTGTTTAACTCTGTGCATGGGATCGACTGCAAGTGCCTATATCTCAGTAAATAGATTAAACATTAATACATCTTAAAAGGTGCATATTTTATTTTTCTAAACAATTATAATCAAACACGTTATATAAGATCAACCAGGTTTTTTGGAAGTTAACAAACGACAAACGTGAACTTCGTCGTTAAATCATTTTGAGTTGAACTTTTAAAACCAGCTCACTATAATGTTCACACGCGTGTCAAACGTGATGTCGATAAAAAAGTCCATGAGTTACACGCAGATCGTTGTCAACCATGGGGTGGGGTTGGATTGTCGACTTCGAATCGTTCGCAACGTCAATATATATATATAGTATTAATAATAATTATCACTATTAGTATCGTATCATCCATAAAATCAGTCGTTGTATAGTTCTTACGGGTTTTGATGGGGAGCATGCAGCGAGCGCGTATTAATATTTGCATCAGTGTGTTAGCCAAGTGTTAATTGGGCCAAACATATTGAATAGTTTACTATACTATACTACACATAAAATTTAACGAAAAAAAAATTTATATTGTTACATATGTATACATATAAGACCGACAAAAGACTTATTCGATTACAGATTATCAGAATACAAGTAATTATAACTTACACTAAATACAACATTCTCTAAGAGTCTAAGACAGTTGCAACATGACAATAATATTTTATACATTTTTTTATTACTAATTTTTTATTTTGTCGATTATTATTGGTAGCCACGGGCCACAGAAAGATTTACCGTGGGCACGCGGCATTTCAAGCACGCGTGTTGACATGCCTGGTCTACATTGATGTACCCCGCTAATAATTTACAATGTAACAGAGCTACGTCTGAGTATGAACGGAAAACGAAATTATTTGCGCAGTGCTTGTTAAACGGCGTGGCAAATAGGCAATTGGTGTACGTAAACGTATGCACGAACATTTAAATATTATTGTCCTACACAAATGTAACGGAAATCATAAAAAGTGAAAAAAATTATGTTTCGTTCGATAATAAAATAATTAATAAACACCAGTGCCGCATTAAACATTTGTGGGCCCCTATGCAATTAAAATTTTGGGTTCTACAAAATTATTTTTTACGTATATCTTTAACATTACTGTCTAATAATTAAAATTAACAGCTTTAACAATAACCGACTATTATTAATAAATAAAATCATGTTTATTAAATTTTTATATTTACAAGAAAAATTAACTAATTATTATATTACCTCTATTTTTTTTTCGAAATAATTTAATTATTATTATTGCATATAACACCTACAACATAATATATATTATATTTCATAATGACTTTTTTCCCGTAAATTCGTAAATAAAATACAGGTATTATTAAATATAAAAAAAAAAAATATAGTTTTCCGTTTCTACGGGGCCCCTTATATGAGTGAGATTTTAAGGCGGGTGCCAACTCCGCCTAATGGGTAATCTGGCACTGATAAACACAATATCATTGTAATACAGTTGACGAGACATTATATTAACTGATTATTCGAGCGTAGATAAATTGAGTCCCAAACGAATATATCTTTTTTCGAAATAGGTAAACTGAGTCTCAATAATAATATTGAAATTGGTAAACTAAGTCCCACGTATACAATTTAAGGAGGTAAACTGAGTCCCTCGTATAACAGTTAAAGCAGGATATTGAGTCCCGTCTAAAATATTTAATGTATTTAATTTATTTAAATGTATTTAAATTAGAAATATAATCGTTGATATAGTTATAAATTCACCGAGTAAGATAGTTAAGTGTATCTTATCGTTACATCGTAAAATATTATTATATTTCACTTCGTATTATTACGCAACATCTATATAAGTACCTAACTATCTACAACAATGCTGGATGTGATATGTGATAGCTGATAAATGTAAGTTTAATGTACGTAGTATAAAATTGTGTTAGTATAATTAAAAGTTTACTAAATAAAAAAAAACAGAATTTCACGATATTTGAAATTACCGCTTTAATTTTTATACGAGGGACTCAATTTATCGATTTCATTTTTATATGAGGGACTCAATTTACCTTTTTTTTTAGGCGGGACTCAGTTTAACTAAAATTAATAAAATGGGACTCAATTTACCAAACCCGGATTATTCAAACATATAGTATATATAAATTACGATTTTGACGAAACCGTAACTACTCGTTATACCTGTAATCGATAGATTTGTGTGTATTGAGGTTTATTTTTAACAGAGTTCTCCGCTTATAGTATAAAATATAAAATTATACGAATATAATATAATGAAATAGAGCTAAATTATAATTATTGTTATACTTATGTCAAAAATAAAATGTAGAGTGATTATTTTTTTAAAAAAAATTATGGTTAAATAATTATAAATTTTAATGAAAAGTAAATATGAATAATTGTTTAATTATAATAGCATGTATAGCTTTGAGAGACATTTGCAGGTAATCATACCGATTAGTAATATTTCCTAATAAAGGTTTATGTTTTAAAATAATGTGAAATGTTAGGATACGTATAGAGAGAATACCGACTACTATCGGCTGAAATGTTGTTCACAGCTTCGAAGTGTTCGATTTTCAGAGTGATACATTAAGTGCATTCCGTATGTTAATTAAAAACTACTCATAAAATGGTTTCAGTGCAATAATGATATAATTTATTTATATACTTGAAATTTGTACGTATCACTATTTAAAATTATTTTTTTATGTATGAACATATTTATTGTATAAAAATGTATGAAAAAATAATTTTGAGGTAATACGTACAGTTATGAAAATATCAGTTACCTGGGGTTGTTTTTTTTATCGACTTAAATTTCAACGATTGGAAGGATAAGATATAGTATAATAGTATAATAGTGATATAGTAATAATATATAATTATATATAGTGAATCAAAAAAGTACACTATTGTCAGAACCTTTCAATAAAATAAAATAGTAAATCAAAATTTGAATAATTTTATATTTTTTAACAAACATTTATTCAGAAACATATTTATATTCGTTTGTAGAAAAAAAAACCTAAGTATTAAATAGTTTATTTTAAAGGGTAGAACACGATTCCGTACGGTCCTTATCAACGTACGGAATTGTACACATTTTAAAGCATACGATTCCGTACGTTTTGTACCTAAGTTTTAGTGTAACATTGTCAGATTTCTAAATAAGTTAAAAAATTATGTAATTATAAATGTAATCTATTAATTTGTATAACA